TCTCAAATCAACGGTGGCATAAATGAAAATATGCTCAACTTGAAACTACTAACGGAGATGTTATCACGTTGACCTAACAGAAAAGTAATTAACTGAATAACTAATGCGCCATAACTATCAATTCAAAGCACTTAAGTCACGATCAAAAATAATAATTGAAACCACTTAAAAATTGAAAAGTCACGATCAGTAAAGCCTCACCCACGTTCCATTTTCAATATAGATATGCTTGGTTATGTTATTATCCACCATATTATATTAATACTACAATTTTCCATTTATTTTGAGTTGTGCTAATTAACTACAACATATTCTGTATATATTCCATATCATCTATATAGTGTGTAACTTTTGGGTTACCACAATGCACTTTTATAAATATTGTTCTTTTCCAAAAAATTTAGTGCATTTACATTATTTTTACAGTCCAACTTTAAAAGTGTACTCCACATTTATAATATCGAATAACTAATGATTACTTAGGGTATGATTTTGCTGAGAGTTCTGACGTGATAAATGAGAATGACCTAAAACGTATGATGCCCATTTTGATTAATGATGTTGCACATTTATGATAAACATAATGCACAATCTAAAGTGGTATACTAATTTAATTTATTTAAAAATGTAGCGGCACTTTGTGATTCATGAAAAGCACATTTATGCTTTTAATTGTTACAATCATATTCATTCTCTTTTCTCTTTTAGGATATGAATTTGGTGCGAATTGAACGGTTTCTCACGTGATAAATGAGAATGACCTACAACGATCGATGCACATCTTGATTAATGATTTTGCACATTTATGATCAACATAATGCACAATTTAAAGTGGTATAACAATTTAATTTATTTGAAAACGTAGTTGCACTTTGTAATTCATGACAAACGACACATTTTTGTTTCGAATCATGCACAATAGTTAACGATCAAATTCATTCTTATTTCTCTTTTAGGATATGATTTTGGTGGGAACAGTTCCTCACGTGACAAATGAGAACGACCTAAAATGATGCACATCTTCATTAATGATGTTGCATATTTATGTTTAAGATAATGCACAATTCAAAGTAGTATAACATTAAAATATAATTGAACTTTGTGATTCATCACAAATTCACAATGCACATTTTTGTTTCAAATTGTGCACTTACATACTCAAAAGTAAATATGCACTTTCAGTAACATTATCGTGCACTTAGATACAAATGTGAAAAAAAATCATACTTATTCTTTAACCAAAATATTTCACACTTTATGCTCTATTTTTTTTTTTTTGAAAATATGTTGTGTGATTTAGTTTACTTACCTTCAAGAACATCATTAACAACAATACTACCACAAGTGCAAACCAAATGTTTAACAATGCACATCCGACACCAAAAAGTGCACACCAAATATATTTAGAGAAATAATTTTTTTTACTCCAGGGGGGTCTGGGGAGGAGCCTGAGGGAGCCTGGAATAATCAGGGCTGATATGTGCCTAGCGGAATTCGAACTCGAGACCTCCCACTAGGCATGATAACCTCGCAACCAGCTGGGCTGGAATGCTTGATTGTTTTTTTTAGAGAAACATTGAAATATATAACCTAAATAAAAAAACAGTGAATAAAAATTTGGTTTTTTATACAGTAAATAAGATATACTCATAATATCTTTAATCATAATTTTTGTCCACAAATTATGTCTCAATACTAATTAAGAAAAATCTATTTTTTAAAATATGAAATTATGCATTCGAAGTTAACATAAAAAACATTGATTTAGGAGTCTTTAAAAAAATATTGATTTAGGAGTGCATCAAAAAATAGTAATCAAGAGGTTAACTAGCTTCCAATTTTACTACCTTTAAAAACGTACAAGTCCGTACAAAAGGAGTACAATGATAAAATTATTAGAAATTACAAATACAAAATACAAGAATTATACGGAGTAAAAGATACGTATAAACTAATTTATGGAAAGAGTGGTTGACCTAAAGCACTAACGTAACGATGGTGGGCATAGAGTTAAGAAACGAACTTGACAGTTAATTCTTCAACTAACGTTCCGTTAAATCAAGCTTATTAATTAATGGTGGAGATGCATTCTTATTTCTCTCTTAAGATGCTATTCTCATTTGATCTCTACTCTCTCTCTCTCTCTCTCTCTCTCTCTCTCTCTATATATATATATATATATATATATGAAGAATAATTCTTGGTGTACACAAATTCTTGATGTACACAAAATCTGAACACGCTTGACACACATTTATTTGAGTATACGGAAACTTGTTGTACACAAGCAACTATGAAGCATACACATAGTATGTATGCACGATTTAGGATCAAATGAGAACAATGATTAACGTAAGAACGTGAGAACACCACATTTACCCCAATGTGATGCACAATGAGGCTCGCCCAATGCACATTTTCATGTTCGGCATGATATTTACCAAAATGGCACCGTGATTATTTATATTGTCTTATTTTGAGTAAAGTCAAAATGTGCACCAGACGGGCTCTACTGTGTATCACATTGTGTTAATTGTGAGTACTCTCACGTTCTCACGTTAAACATTGTTCTCATTGGAACTGCACTCTGTATACAAACTTCGTATACAAATAGATTCTTTCATAAATGAAAGAGGCCATATATTTTTGTCTTATCATATCATTATGACATTTTCAAGAAGAGCATTATATTTATTGTTGAACAGAAAGTATATTAATGAATTTGTTAATTAGGAATCAATTTGAACCAGACAACATTTTAAAATATAACTCTCGTTCTCCCATTACAATTGTCTCGTTGATCTTTTCCGTTCGTCCCATTAAATTTATCTCATACCATATTTGATAATATTTGTGTGGTTCTAATTCATTTTTACTTTATTCTCACTTTATCAACCACATAACTCTATTTTTCTTTAGAATCGTACCACTTACTTTTGTCTCAATTTTAGGGGGCGGATGTAATACATTAAAAATAATTGATGGAAATAGTATATTTGTAAACCAGTGATTAAAAATAATCCAAGTATACAAATAATAACACAGAGTAACATACGTAGTACTCCCTCTGTCCCGGATAGAACTTGACGTTTGCTTTTGGCACGCTATTTTAGGAGCTCAATTAATAGAAGAATAAATGTCTTGCATGCCCTTTGACTTTTGGGACAAATTAATGGTTCCACTTAAATGTAAAAAGTGGGTGGGTAGTGAAGGGTAGTTATTGTTGGAAAAATAAATGTATTTCAAATGAATAAAATAGGGAAAACTGTCAAATAGGTCCTCGAACTTTCATAAAAAAGTCAATTAAGTCCTTCTATAGGAGACTCTGTCCGGTCGTCGCGATTTGGGGCGGTTCCCGGTGGAAGTTTTTGATGAAATTTTTTGAGCATCTTATTCATCAAGTCTAGTTTACTCATACCAAATTTCAGCTAAAAATTTAATCGAGAGCGCACTCAAATTAATTCGAGAACGCAAAAATGCGCAGTTATCTTCAAGAATTAATTTGAATGTGTTCCCGATTGAATTTTTAGCTGAAATTTGGTATGAGTTAACTAGACTTGGTGAATAAGATGCTCAAAAAATTTCATCAAACAATTCCACCGGGAACTGCCCCAAATCGCGATGGCCGGACATAACCTCCTATAGAAGGACTTAATTGACCTTTTTATGAAAGTTCGATGACCTATTTGACAGTTTTCCCAATAAAATACTATAATTAAATTATACGGTATCTGTTATTATGATTATCTTGGGTGCCAACTTTTAAACCGTTTAACTCTCTAAATGGTTTGTGAGATGCTCGTGTTTATTAATAAAAATAATTGCTTTAACCCTTAATTGAGCCTCCATGATGTGCTGGTCATGTGAAACGTTAGCATTATCAACATTCATTCATTGTTTAATGATGAAATCAATGAGTGTGTTGGTGTCAAATTAAATATGTGCTAACGTTTAGTTATTTATGAATGGAGTAATATAAACGTTAGTCTAACGTTCCACTATCGGGCTATCAACGTTCCTTTTGCACTATCGGAAATACTTTCGGACAGCGTTTACGCGACTCGAGCTACATTATTTTTCTAACGCCTTTTTTGCATGTTTATCCGGCGAATAACTCCAACAGTTATGACATTTAAGGTAAAATGAGTTGCCTAAAAACCAAACGTAAAGGAGCAAATAAACGTCCCAAAAAAAAGCGTAAAGATTTAAAAGGGACGGATGGAGTATATTGCATTCATATATAACTTTTTTAGCAATCAACCAAACCAACTAATTTAGGGAGTGTTTGCAATTGCTTCAACTTTAAAAAAATGATTTTTCAAAGTGATTTTGGGAAAAGTGATTAATAGTAAAAGTTGGTAGTGTTTGAGAAAAAAAGTGATTCTGAAAAAGTAAAAGTTGGTAATGTTTGGTAAAATAAGTACTTTTTGTGTAATAGAAAAAGTGAAAAGCAGTTTAAAACATCCTTCCACCTGCTTCCAGCTTTTAGCTTTTAAGTGATTAATTTAAGCAGAAGATGTCATTTGAAAACACTCTTTTTAGCTTTTTTTAAGTCAAAAGCTGAAAAGCGCTTTTTTAAGCCACATCAAACACTGCTTTAGTTATCTCAAACATAACTCCGATAATTCCAACAATCTTAACCAAAATCAGTGTAGAATGACTAAATGAACTCTTAATTCCCCTTAAGTCACTTCCAAACAGAAAACAAGATGAGATTAGACTCGGTAAACAAGTTAATCAATATTGTTTTATCAAATGAAATCTTGATTTGGGATTGCATTTTTCAAAAACTGTGGGCCCCAACCACGAAATAAGATCAGATTAGACTCGGTAATTACCAATTAGATTAGTTCTAAATAGAAGCACGTGTTCTTAATGCTAGGTTTCGGTAACTGGCCGACAACTTGCGCGTTCTCCCATCCAACCATCGGTCGTCTTCTGCGTCTTTTCCTCCTACGATTAAAACGTGCTGAAAGTAGTTACAACATTTTCCAAAAGAATAATTATTGTACTGATTATTTAATTTCAAATGTTATTATTAAAACGAGTTCCCATTTTCATCTCCTCCGAAAAGAGCTGCGTAAAATCTCCAGGCTTATCTAATCTGATGATCTATATACTCCAGATACACTTGTAATCAACAAGCTCGCTCCTTTATTACCTTCGTCCTCATTCATCATCGCCGGCGAATCGAGAAAACTTTCCGGCATGCAACTTCCGGCCGACGGCGCAAGGCTTGGCAGGGCTCCGGAGAAGCCGAGCTTCGCGCAGACTTGCAACCGGTTGAGCCAGTATCTCAACGGGAAGGGTAATTTCAGCGATCTGGGTCTTCAAATTCGCGGCAAATTGGAAGCTGCAGGTATTTTTCATTCCTCTGTTTTTACCACCAAGTACTCTGTATGTCATTAAATATTTACTGGCAAATTACGATTTATAGATCTGCAGCGCAAATCGAATCCCAATTTTCGTGTTTAATTGCTTTACAAGTTTTGTGTATAAACGTTATTGGTCCATTTCCAACGATACCATCTATACTAAACAAATCATCCATTTCCACCGAATATGTATCACTCGATAAAACCCGAAAATCGTTAATTGGATATTTGGATTTGAATTTTGTATCCTATGATCTAATCTGATTTAGTCTTTTCAGAATTGTTGTACTTTGATATATGTTTGTTTTCATGTATTTTAAAATGTAGCCTAATTTAAACTAATACTGAAATTAATTAAAAACATCTTAAAATATTTTTTAATTATACTGAAATTTTATTGTTTTATAGGATTGAAAATAAAAGATGAGATTTGCCTTTTTTTGTCAGGTTTGATGTAAGAAAAATACTAGGAATTAGTTTCTTTATTTGAAAGGAAATAATTTTGATATGTAAGTAAGAAAGTCAAACTATTTTTGCTGTATGTTGATTTAGGGGTGTTTGGATCTGTTTTTTAAAACTGCTTCCAAGCAGAAGTTGGAATGTTTGGGTGAAAGTGCAGAAGTGATTCGTGTGCTCTAATTTATTCCTAGAATCAATTTGTCGGGAGACTAACTTCTGAAAACTGATTCTGATTCTACTTCTGTTTTAAAAAAGAAACAGAAGCAGAAGCAGAAGCAGTTCCAAACACCCCTTAATTAAAAATTAAATAAAATAAAAAAGTGAGATTTTTTTTTATTATCGTAAAGTGAGAAAGTTATTCAGTGCCGAAGCAAGTTTGTCAAAAAGGAAAATACTTTTGGTACACAAAATGTGTACACAGACATGTACACAGACAAGAAAAATACAATGCGGAAGCTTTAGTTTCGAAAGAATATATTAGTAAGGATAGCCTACGAGAGCCTGAGTACGACGCCGTTGATCCCTGCGGGAATCCTTCGATTAACTGATTCGATCCTCAAAAGAGAAAAAGGGAGGAAAGGTGCGTAGCAGAAATCCCATCAGGGAAAGACCATACAGTCAAACTTCCAATGCAGAGAGGAAAGACGGAGCATCGACTATTCCCATTCAAGTAGAATGTTGTTTTCGGGGAGCTGGTATTTGGCTCTTCTGGAGAGATGACGGAATGAAGATATACTGAGTATCAAGGGCTAGCAATTGTCTTGTCTATGAGGGGGAACCGGGGCTAGACGAAGTATTGCGTCTAGAAAGCAGGAAGGGCTTTGTGAGGCAGCAATGCGAGATCGCCCTCAGATCTTTCTCGTAGCCTCTGGGGTACTTCTTTATGCTGAACTCAAAGAGTTTCTACTATCCGCTTCGGATCTTATCTTATCCCTTCTTATCCCCTCTTTGTATGAATCTTTCCGAATCCACACCCTTTCAGGAACTAAAGTAACCTGGAAGTTTCCTTGATCCGCTACTCCGAACAGACATGTGTACACATTTTGTGTACCCCAAGCAAAATCCTTGTCAAAAAAGAGCCTACAAAATCTAAAACTGCCTAAAAAGAATACAAAAGACTGATCAAAATTTAAGAATGAGATTAGTCTTATCGGAACAAACTAGAATATACTTAAACGATCAAACATCAACAATATAAAAATATTGTTAGATTTCATTTCAAACAAGATTTAAGCGGAATTTTTACTTTAGACGATTTTTAGTCCCAAACCAAATCAGACCAGACTAGTCTTGGATAGTTATAACATACACAAAGGTCAGATATTTACCAGAACAGTTCAGACTAAACCTAACTAGACTATATTAGATCAGATCACATAAGAAAATTTCAATCTTAAGTAAAAACATTCTAAACATAAATGTACCAAATGTCATTATAAGTGAAACCATCTCGAGTCTTGTTATTGATGGCACAAATGAGAGGGGTAACATTTGATGTAGAAGAGCTCGTTTGGTAAATAGAAATTGATCAATTAGTTGAATCTACTACAATTGATACAATAATTTATGTAAATAAGAGGGGTAACATTATTATTATTATAATCTTAATATGACACCATAGTTACAGAAACACAATTATATTACTCCGTACGGAGTATTATATTTGTAGAGGGAAAAACACAATTATATGCTAAGTATTAGAAACCATTTGTTCTCCAAAAAATAATTTGTGCTTACACACTTGTATACATTATTTATCAAGAGGTTTTTGTCTCTCACAAAAACAAAACGTGTTTTATCTATACAATTGTTGTTTGTTGTTACTCTTATGTAGTGCAATTTCTTTAGAAAAAATCATGCTAAAAGAACTCTATTTTCATTTACTTTCCCTTTTTGTGATATCCAGGCTCCAAACAGAGTCATGCGTTGGGAAAACCTGACGTGGCAGCTGCTCCGCCAACCATCAACTTCCTGGGAAAATCAAACCCCGCACCAGAAATAGACTTGAATTCCAGCGATGTGGTCCTTGAACATAACAGTGTGGACCAGGCCTCAAAAGAGGCCAACAAGACTGCGCCGCTGACTATTTTCTACTCCGGCAAAGTTTTGGTCTTTGATGATTTCCCGGCCGACAAAGCCCGGGAAGTACTGTCGTTGGCGAGCAAAGTAAGCTCGCCGGCTGCTTGTGGTGTTTTCCCAACGGTTAGTCCTACACCACAAGCTCCTTTTCTCCTTTCAGGATCCAACGTTTCAGGTAACCTATCCATAAACAAGATTTTATTTTAATGTCTGTGCTTTTTTGTTATGAAGCAGCAGTCAGTCCATGTAATTTTGGACGCGATTTTCAGTATGGGTCATTCGGGAACAGTCTCCCCGTGCTTTAGTGCAACGGTAAGACTGCGTACATCCGACCCCCCTACCCCACCGTAGGTGGGAGCCTTTTCGGCACTGGGGTAAATGAAAATGAAATGTAAATTGTTGAAGTATTTGTTTCTAACGGGAAAATTATAAAATAAAACAGAGTAAAACACTGTCTAAGATCTTGATCTATTCCTCCTCCTAACCTCCTTATTGTGTTTTTTATTTTATTTTTAATTTATTATTATTATTATTATTATTTTTGTGATTTTGATTATTGTTTAGCATTAATGATTAATGTTAGTTGTTAAGGTCTCTTTGAAATCGTATAAAGTAATAAAACCCTTACAAGATTTTGGGATACTTTTCTTATTGGGGCTGATTTTTTAGAATGAAACCCAAATATTAATAGAAGTAATAATTATTGAAATAATGTTTAAGAAAAACATGAAAAAGTTTTTTTTCTATAGTACTGTAAATACCTTAGAGCATCTTCAATGCTACAATGTGCATCATGTACATGTGGCATGAGTGATAGCCACATAAATATTAGCAAATAAATTACATATCTCCTTATTTGAATGATTTTATACAAATTTGGTAAGTTTTTTCCTGCAATGTCAACTGCAATGTCAACATCTAGACGGTCTCCTTGACATTGTGGAGAAATACTTACCAAAATTGTATATAAAATCATTCAAATAAGGAGAGAAAGAATTTATTTAGTAGTATTTATGTGGCTATCTCTCGTGGCTTGTGTGCACTGTGCACATTGTAGCATTAGAGATGCTCTTATACAGAGCAGATTATTTTTGAATGGGTAAATACCTTACCGTTACAAGAGAGAAGTGCTTTAAAATGGTTTGGACTTTCCGTCATTTGATTGGTTGGACTGCTCAACTTTTTCGTTTTTTATTGTACTAGTACTAAAAATATTACCAAGTACGTAGTAAGAGAGAAGTGAATTTTGCGTAACAAAACTTGAAATACTTATGGTTTCAGGTCTTCCAATTGCAAGAAGATCATCACTTCATCGATTCCTCGAGAAGAGGAAGGATAGGTAAGATTAGATTTCCTTACAAACCATTTACTCACCCTTTCAAAAAAAGACTAGCTTAACTTAGAACTCTTTTAATTTAGTAATTGTCCGAAGTTGAATTCGTTTTTTTTTTTGAGAGGAAGTTGAATTCGTTAAAACTGTGAACTTTTGATTTAAGGGTTGAATTGGTTGAATGTGTCAAATTATGAAAAGATTATATTTAAAATATATTGCATTAATAAAATAAAATAAAATTGCACTACATTCATCTCATTGACATTTTTTAAAAGGATAGAGAAATAAATGGAATTGTAAATTAGGTGACTCTAAAGATAAAGTTTTAGAATAAACAAAAAAAATTGATGAAGTCTAAATGGACACATCGAGTAGGAAAAAAACTTAAACAAGTTCCCTTAATCAAATTTAGTCAAGTCAGTTGTAAACCGTCTTTACTTATTTCGTTCTATATATTTTGAACGTTACATACTTCAACCTGTGAAATGTTTGATAAAAAAGTTGATGAGTGTGACAATATTATGTGGTCCTGATCTATTTGTGGATTTTATCATTTGTCCAGGTCCACTGCTAGAGCACCATACCCGCTTCAACATGGTCCATTTCATGTCGCATATTCTGAGGATGTACTGGATCTCAACTTCAAGTTGTAGTCGCTCCCTATCATCAGTAACAACACAACTTATACGGGCCGACTTTTGATTTGTTCTTCAGCCCCTTTTATCATCTTTTGAGTTGTGGATGAAGATTTATGAATTATATTATACATAACACTTCTGTTCTATTTTCCATCCCAACCAACTTGTGACGTGCTTAATTGGGGTTTAACATATTTTCTTATTGTAAATAATAGTAGCAAATTATAGGTCGCCCTGATCCATTTTTTTGTTAGACTATCTCTACCTTGTTTTTCCCTTTATGGATCATTGCCATTATATTGTACGTCTTTTATCCATTTCCGTGATATAAGGTACTTCATTTTCGGCATTTATGGTACATAGTACATTGATGCAATGCCTCATTTCTAATGCAAAATGAGACTTTTAAATTAACAATGAGCATTTTTTTTGTTCTCATGCAAAAAGGTGGAAAACTATAAAGGTTGACCAAATTGGAGCAGATTTTAAAATGTTAACAGAAAAGTTGCATCAAGAACTCTAAACATTAATAAGAAAATTGCACAAACATACCAGACCATCACATTGCAGTTATGGATTGCGCCCTAAATATTCTTTAATTATTATAGTCAATACTTAAAAATTATTGTTAATCTAGCAACTCTAAAGTACAGATTCTTTTTTTGTTGCTTCTTAGGTGAAGATTCTAGTAACAAATAGTCACCGGCCTCTAAGTGTATTGACAAAAAATGAAAACATTCTATACTATAACGTAACGAACAAACGCAATCAAAGCCTGTTGTTTGCGAAAACCCTAGGCGTGAGCGTCCTAGCCACCGGCGTGATGGCCCATACTTCGCGACGTGGTTGTTCTTGTCAATGTGTGTTATGAACATAATCTTGAAAAGGAGAAAATTCATAACAAACAGAGAGAATTCGAGATATTAACACGAGGAAGAAGAAAGAAGCAGTTTATTAGCTCAGAAGTGTCCGAATACATCTCCTCCCGTCAGTTTGATACCCCTCCAACCAATTAACTAACATTCAGTTAGTAGTAATTGGGCTGTAGCAAACTAAAAAAAATAAAGACATATACAAATGGCCCATAAGTTCTATTTAAGCCCAAACAAGGAAGCCTTTATTGTAACATTGCCCCCTCCTTGCTCTAAAGCTTGTCTCGAGCTTTTATTTCTGTAAACTGCTTGACTATCACTTCATAGTCTTCCCAAGTAGCTTCATCTTGGTGCAAATGTTCCCACTTTATCAGCCATTGTACCACTGCAGCATTACCTCTCTTGACCATCCTTCTAGCCAATACTCCGGCTGGTATTAATACCACATTTCCTTCTTCATTCATGATTGGAAACTTGCTGGAAACAAGATCATTCATTCCTACTTTTTTCTTCAACAATGATACATGAAACATAGGATGAATCTTGTTTCCTTCTGGTAATGCTAGCTTATAAGCTACAGCTCCCACTCTTTCTACTATTGGAAATGGTCCACAATATTTAGGACTTAATTTCCAAAGAGTAGATTTCCTCATACTCAGTTGCCTGTATGGTTTTAGCTTCAAGTAAACCAAATCTCCTACTGCAAACTCTCTCTCCAATCTTCCTTTATCAGTTCTTTCTTTCATCCTTTGCTTATATAGGTTTAGTTGGTGTTTCAGTTTCTCCGAAATCAGTTGTCTTTGTTGAACCTCATGCTCAACTCCTACTACAGTTAATTCACCACAGGGACCCAAATTTAGAGTAGGAGGTTTGTAACAAAAAAGAGCCTCAAAGGAACTCATGCCTATAATAGTATGATGACAGCTATTGTACCACCATTGTGCTAGAGGAAGCCATTTACTCCATTCTTTAGGAAGTTGTCCATTCATACATCTAAGATAATTTTCCAAACATTGATTCACTCTCTCTGTCTGCCCATCTGTTTGAGGATGATAAGAGGTACTCAGATGATGTTTCACCCCTAGAGCTTTGAATAACTCCATCCAAAATAGGCCAGTGAAAATCTTATCTCTGTCAGAGGTAATAGATTCTGGCAGACCATGGAATTTGCAGACATTGTTGATGAAAATGGTGATTATTTTGGAGGCAGTATATGGGTGGATTAGTGGCACAAAATTGGCATACTTTGTGTATCTATCCACCACTACTAGAATGGCCTCATATCCATCTGATTTTGGTAGTTTCTCAATGAAGTGATTGAAGTCCATAGTGATGTGTTGCCATGCTTGTTGAGGTACTGGTAAAGGTTGTAGTAAGCCTGGATATTTGGAATTTTCATGCTTGCATATCTGACAAATAGAGCAGTTTCTGACCACTTGTTGTACTGTTTGTTTCATGTTTGGCCACCAAAAAATAGCCATAATCCTGTGTAAGGTAGATAGCTCTCCTAAATGCCCTCCAGCTGCACTCTCATGTATGGTTGTTACCATTTTGTTCCTTAAGTTTCATGCAGAGCCCGCATACAATCTATTTTTGTATTTCAACATCCCATCATAGTAAGAAAAGTAACTCATGTTATAGGGAGATGTCAACTTTTGCAAGATGGCTTCTTCATCTTCCCCATCCCCTTGATAGCTCAGTATTAGCTCTTCTTGCCACATAGGTTTAACTGCAGATACCACTTTACACATTCCATCTTCTTCCTTTTCTGTAATGTCCTTCCGAGATACAGCATCTGCTACCTTATTCTCCTGTCCTTTTTTATATTCAATTCTGTAGTCATATCCCAACAACTTGGTGAGATATTTATGTTCAGTGGGAGTGGATACCCTCTGATCCATTAAGAACTTGAGACTGATCTGGTCAGTTCTAATAACAAAAGGAGCATGTAGCAAGTAGGCCCTCCATTTTTCAATAGCCAGGATAATAGCTAGGAATTCTTTCTCATAAATGGATAGCCCCATATTCTTGGGACCAAGTGCCTTGCTGATAAAAGATAAGGGGTGATTGTCTTGTAGTAGCACTGCCCCTATACCTCCATAACATGCATCAGTCTCTATAGTGAAGGTTTTATTAAAGTTAGGTAGTTGTAGTATGGGTACAGAGCACATAGCGCTCTTAAGTTCTTCAAATGCTGCTTGAGCCTCTTTACTCCATTTAAACATACCTTTCTTTGTGAGTTCAGTTAGAGGTTTAGCCTTCTATCCATAGTGTAAGCAGAACTTCCTAAAGTACCCAGTCATTCCTAGAAAACCTCTTAGTGCTTTAAGAGAAGTAGGAATTGGCCATTCAACAATACTTTTGACCTTTTCTGGATCTACATCAACTCCATTAGCACTGATAATATGTCCCAAATATTCTATTTGTGAAACCCCAAAAACACACTTGGATTTTTTCACAAAAAGAGTATGTTGCCTCAGTAATTCAAACACTTGTTTCAAATGTATTTTGTGATCCTCTAGGTTGTTGCCGTATATCAGTATATCATCAAAGAAAAGTAGAAAACTAATACAAACTACCCCAAGTATTTGTTGAATATGTTGTTCATCAGGACCTGAAATGTAGCTGGGCGTTAGTTAACCCAAAGGGCATGACAGTGAGCTCATACAACCCACTGACAGTAATAAAAGTTGTCTTCTCAATATCTTCTTCCCTCATCCTCACTTGGTGGTATCCAGCTCTTAGATCAATATTAGAAAAGATGTGTGCCCCATATAACTCATCAAGTAGATCATCTATAAGAGGAATAGGATAGTTATTCTTTACTGTAATTGAGTTAAGCTTCCTATAATCAATGCAGAATCTCCATGACCCATCCTTTTTCTTTACCAATAACACTGGACTGGAATAAGGGTTGTGGTTGTGTTGTATTACTCCAGAGGCAAGCATTTCTTTGATCAACTTCTCTATTTCTTGCCTCTGTATATATGGATATCTGTAGGGAGCTTGTTTGAAAGGTTTCTCTCCATTTTTGATGGTAATATGATGTTCATGTTGTCTGTTTGGAGGCAATTCTTTAGGTTCCTGGAAGGTTTCTTGATATTCTTCAATCAACCCCTCTAATTCTTCTGTATTAGGTGGTTTCCCCTCTTTTACTACAGATGTGACCATACAAAAGAATTTGGACACCATTTCATCTCTTTTCTTCAGCAAATTCTTCATTTTCTTCCCTGTCATCAACCTTACTGAAACATCTGGCTGGATCCCTTTTACTGTTACTCTCTGCCCACTATGATCAAAGGTAACAGAATGATTGTCATAGTCAAGCATAATGGGTCCCAGTTTCTTCATCAAATCAACACCCATTACCATATCATAACCTCCAAGTGGTAATACCCTCATACTTGCTGCAAAAATGTGTCCAGCCATCTCCCATTCCAAATTGTGGCATTTAGAATTGCATTCTATCTTGCCTCCTCCTGCCACCATAACTTGTAGTGGATTAGTAATCTCTAGTTCACAATTTATCCTGTTAGCTGTAGCTGGATCTATGAAACTGTGAGTACTCCCAGAATCCACCAAAATAGTTATGTGGTTGTTTTTTTTTACCTTTCCAGCTAATTTAATTGTATCAGTGGGTACATGCTCTTTTAGAGCATGCAATGAAACTCCAAAACTGATTTCATCTTCACTATCTTGATTCAATAATGGTTCCTGATCCTCTGAATTATCCTCAACTTGTAGAATAACAAAGAGCTTCTTACATTTATGCCCCACAGAGTATGCTTCATCACAGTTGAAGCATAACCCCTTCTTTCTCCTAGCTTCCAACTCTTCCTTATTCAACCTCCTGACTGGTAATGACCTATCCCCATTGGTGACTCCTTTAATGTCAGTGTTGCTTTTGTGCCAATTATTCCCCTTTTGCATAGGTCTGCCTGTTCTTCCTACTGCTTCCAGAAGTGCCTCTTGCTTTTTTGCTATAAAAAAGCTTGTTCCAAGGTCTCCGTGGCTACAATTTCTACCATGTGTCTGATCTCACTCTTTAAACCACTAAGAAAGCTTTTCAGGAAGTAATATTCATCCAGATGTTTATTTCTTTGAAGCATGAGAGATTTCAATTCAGAAAATTTGTCTATATAGTCAGCAACTGCAATTTTCTGTCTCAACTTATTGAAATCACCAATAATGTCATTTTCCTTGGAAAATCTATCTAGGAACAATTTCACAAATACCTCCCATCCCATAGCTTCATTCCCCACTATCCGATCCATATACCAGTTTTCAACATTTCCAGTCACATACATTCCAATCAATACTATCTTCTCATAATCAGACATGCTATGGATTAGAAAATACCTTTCACACTTTCGGATCCAACCCCTAGCATTTTCACCATTAAAATGAGGAAATTCAAGTTTGATTCCACGTTGGTGTCCTGGAGTAGCAATCAGATATGAATCTGGTCTTTGAGGAGTTTGTTCCTGATGGCTGTGACTACTGATTCCCTTAACTGCAATG